AAAATGATGAAGTTTAGGAAAGAAAACATAATCGCAATTGATTTGAAACAAATTAAAATGGAAATTTTTTTGAATTATAGCCCATAAAAATTACAAATTTTAAAGTACACTAGTTAACTGTCATTTGCTCGAAATAAATAAAATTGGTCAAAAATCTTGAGTTCAAAAAAATTACAGATTTTGAAGTAACATTAATATATTGCCATCTGACTGAAACAGATAAACACGATTTACATTACAATATAGATCGACAAATGTGTATTTCTACAGGTGTGTGTAACTAAGTTATATATGATGATCGGCGTCATCCATCGTAATTTGCACACCACCTAATCTATATGCAAAAAATTATATCATTTAGAAATTTTTAATTATTATTTTCAGCTATATTTAAAAGGGATGGCTCGTAAGATAACTACCTTAAAAAATCAAAATTTTAATTTTATTTTCAGCTATATTAAAAAGGGATGCCTCGTATGATAACTACATTTCTTTCACGCGATAAGTCCATGACTTAGAAAAATATTACTTCCCATCCAAAAACAATAGAAACAAAAGGGGGGGGGGATTCAAAATTATAGGGAAAAAGAACAGATCTTTTTATTAGGGGGGGTGGGATTCAAAATTATAGGGAAAAAGAACAGATCTTTTTATTAAAAATACGTATAGATGAAGATCTCCATAACGTTATTCATTCAACAATGATTTTACCACCAAACAATTTCAGGGCTAATCAATAATGCAACAACATATGGAACCCGCAACCGGGTCGGGTACGCACAACCCGCCAAACCGAAAATAACCCGCATTTGCGCATGCATCTTGGCACACGGTCTTATTATTCACGGTGCAACGTTGGTCAATGTAATGACAATGACCATCATCACGACGCCCATATGCAACCAACCCTACAGACACAAAAGGTACACAAAATGAGAAACGTATTCAATGCAAAAATGAAATTTGGATTTTCTCATAGAGTGCTGCTACGGGGACCCAAAATATGAAACCAATGGAGGGGACAGGTGAGGTGTCCCCTCCCTATTGCATAATAAGTTGGTCATGTCAACTCATTATGTAATGAGTTGGTCATGCCAACTCATTATGCAATAAGGAGATGACACATGACTTGTCCCCTCCCTTGGTCCCATATTTTGGGTCCTTAATTCATTTTCCTTTCTCATAGTATACCCTAAAATTATGTCCTATTTTATATTAGGAGCTCAAATCTTCATAAAAGTTATGAGCATTGCAATTAATTCGCCTCATCTAAGTCTGCACTCGCATTTATCATGCCTTAGTTATTTTACCGGTAGCTAACACCTCTAGATTAACGAGGAATAAGGGTTTATATGCATCCTTCTCAAAAATGTGAATCAAGTGTATTAAGTGCTATAAAAGTAGTTGAGGATTATAATCACGTGTACTTAACATCCTAGAGGGGGTTGTTTATATTTTATCCTTTTTTTTAAATGGCATCCCCAAATCTTCGTAGTTGTTCAAAATGGGGTGATATTTGAAACAACTTAATGGATTTTGGGGTGTAAATTACAAATATGGGGCTGTTATTTTAAACATCTTTGGTTAATGGATTTAAAGGTGTAACATACAAATATTAAGATTTGCAGGTAATATAAAAAAATAGATTAGAGATTTAGAGTCCTATATGAGAACGGATTTGGATCCTCTCCACCATCTAAAAAGTAGTGGAGGGACCACTACGTAGTCATAATCATTGATTATCTAGTTGGTGGTTGTGATTTTTTCTTTGAGTGCAAATTAGGAAATGGTGCAATACATGGGGATATGGTGAGTGTTAGATTTAGATTGATATATTTAGTAGTAGGAAAAATAATTAAATTGGTGTTAATTTTGATATTAATTCCATAATATCGCAAGTGAAAGAAAAATGTCATTGGAAAAAAAGTTCTACTAAAAATGCCAATTTGGCAACGTAGCCTTTAATGACCAGATGCTTACCGGACATTGATAAAGTGAGGGAGAAGGAAATTAGGATAACTGCGAGAACTAAGCGTTTGGGAGCCATTAGCTTTAGAATGTTGCTTGGGGAATTAAATTTTCTCTATGAGAGAATGTAAATATATAGCTCACTTCTTAAAATAGAAACCTAGTTTATGAGGAAACAAATATGTAGAGGATCTAAATGAATGAATTTGGAGGTGATGGGTTCTAATTGAAAGGAAAGAAAAATATGTGAAATATAAAGCTAAATATTAAGAGATTTTATCTTTCACATGTTCTTGGTACTTATTTATGCATATATGTACTTTCTAAAAAAAGATTTTTGCGTATTTTTCTATCATAAAATAAAATGTACATCCTCAACAACATTAATCATGCTTTTTTTTTTGTTTTTTGTTAAACAATATTGCCTTTGGTTTATAGTTAAATGATATACAAAAGTTGTTACCTAACTCTTGAATTATTCAAGTATTTAGAATAGTAGGAGTTTGTATGCATCATCACAATTTCTAAATCTCCCCCATTTCGAATTACATTGTCTTTTAACACACTCTTTTCGTATTGAGTGTTCCTTATCTAGGACATATGTTTATCAAAATCACAAATTTTGCTTTCATCATTTATATGATAATTTCAAGAAATATTATCCTCATTTAACTTAAAGGTGAACAAGTACGATCATGAATATTGTTACAACTTGAATACTTTTTGGAGGTATAAAAATGATTTTAGTTTCTTTCGATGCGCATATGAGCAATTAGGGAAGTTTGAATGGTAAGTAAATACAATTCTAATTTTTGAGATTATAATATAAAAATTCCTTCTTGTGAAGAACAGTGAAGACCACACTACTATTACTACACTACGAGAGAGAAAAGTGTCGGATCCGTTCTCATCAATTTTAAAAATTGTGAAAGACATGAACACAAGGTAAGAAAGAGGTTGAGCACAATCTTGGTATCTAGCAATTTCCTTGGAACTCTAATCTTTCATGATATCTTCACTAGCTAAGTTGCATAAGATTATCGCGATTTTCTCCATTTCCTCGCATTAAGTTGCAGAAACTATGAGACTATATTAAATTGGAATGACTTTTGTAACTCCTAGAATACTCCCTCACAATATTAACACACTGGTTTATATTTTACTTTTCTTTCTAAAAGTTAAAATGTAGTAACACATGTAAAAAAAACACATTAAAGAAGATTCTATCTAAAAATTAACATGTAGTCAATTGGTATGCCAACCCACAAAAAAAGAAGTCTATTGATATGTTCATTAAGGACCAAGCTAACGAAGATAATGACGTTTTTGTAAAGTTCTGGTGATTTTCATTAATTTAAAGAGTACATGATATTTTTCAGTAGGAAAACTGAGAACAAGTTAACGATAACTATTTCTGCAATTTATATTTATAGACAAAAAAATAGAAAAAATATTAACAATAAAATTAGCCTAAAGCAACGAGCATACTCCACTTATTATCAATTGTTTTTGCATTCATCTTGCAAATTCATCTGCTAGTGTGGCTTGATGCACTCTCATCTCTTACAAAACAGAGAATAAACATCGAGGTTGGTATCAACACCGGCTGAAGCCAGACTTATTGGTACCAATGAAAGATTGGGATTGAATTGTAAAAGATCCCAAATGCAGCAAAGAAGTGGGAAAAGAATGTGGCGTAGGTTGGGTCCACTGAGTACGTGTTTCGTAGGTTGAATTTTGCAATTCAGAAAGGATTAGCGACGCAGCTTGTTACCAGCTTGTCATCATCACATGTGTAATATTTTACTATTTTGCTAAAAAAATAAAAAAAAGAAAGTGGGAAAAGAAAAAAGAAAAAAAAAAGAAAAAAAAAGATCATTATCATTTCTATATAGTTAGTCAACGTTATATGACAAACCCTTGAAGCAAAAAAAAATTTGCCTCTCCCCACCTATGTTCACTAGTTACCTCTGCCTAATAACAGGAACAAACAATTCAGAAATTTTTATTGCATAAAAAGAAGTGACTTGTGTAATTGAACCAAAGAAGAAAAACAACAAGTATTCAGAAAAGGTTTGGAAAATTAGGATCCACCAAAGCTATCCTGCTTGAATGGGAAACGGTGATAAAATGCTGATTTTTTTTTTTCATATGCATTCTTCCGCAATAAAATGTTTACGGAAATTATACTTGGGGCTAGTTGCAGATAACCCCCCTTACTATTGCCCAGTTGCGAATAAACGCCTTATACTTCGATGGACATGTAAGTGAACTTTATTTTTTTACTCTCTAAGAAAAGAGAATATTTTTTTTGACGAATAGACCTCCTTAGGGTAAAAGAGTTATTTAAAAAAAATAACTCAGAGGTCTATCCGCAGTAGGCGATAATACATGAGGTCTAGCAGCAACAGTAGAAATACAGGGGTTCTATCTGCATCCAGGCGATAGCACAGGGGGTCTATCTGCAATTAACATATTAACTTTCTAGTGCATTTGCTCAAAGATTAATGGTAACTCCACACCCCATAAATCAATTAAGAAGCAAGCATTAGCCTCCAGTAAGCAAGTGACAGAAGTCAGGAGCAAACAGTCATCATAAGAGAATGCTAAGGAATAAGATTAAGTTCCTGATGGACCCACCAATACACCAAAAATCTTAGCTAAAAACATAAGCCAACATTGACAAAAACCAGTTGACCACAAGTTGGTAGCCAAAACATGAAATGTTCTTTAACACAAACCCTATGCCCTGGCTCCCAATAACATCAAACTCATTTAAGACATCCCAACAGAGTTATTCACTTAGTTTTTTGCACTTGACATCCATCAGTTTACTCTGTTTGACTTCATTTGTCCCCAGTTTAGCATCTCGGCATTATATCTTTTATATACAATGGACTCTAATCTTATCGCTTTTTCTAATCGGTGCATGTTGTACATGACCAGATCATCATTTAATCCTAAATAGGTTGCTACGATGCGTGAAAAATATTAAAAACTATAAACTCAAATACATGAATACTTTGTCGCAATATAGAATATGAAAATACATTTTTATCACTAGCAAAATTATAAGATATGCTTGTACAATGAGGAATAACAAAAAATTATGTCGATCAAATTTATAAAAGCTTACACCTGTTTGGATTGTAGGATTCCGTATGTGCAGGGACCACAGTAGCGAATGAAACATCTTCATGATTCTCCTTCATGGATTGTTAAACCAGTAAGTGAATCCCAGGAAAAATACAAAATTCCACTCAAGTGATGAGAGGTCGACATCTTTACCCTTAAACTAAGGGGCATAAAGGGATTATGAATAATGAGTGCATCAAAAATTGAAGAAAATACAAAGGAATGAAGACTTCACCCCCATGAAGCAGTACTCTTTGAGATATTATCAAGAAATAAAGCCTTTGATCCACGGTCACTTGCAAACTCTCCCATAACAGCAATTGTCGCTGTACTACTCCCAATCTTCTCGATCCCTCTCGAAATCATACAGATATGATTAGCTTCCACAACTACAATCACTCCTCTACCAACAACAGAATATATAGTTTCAGCAATTTGCTTCGTGAGTCTCTCTTGAACTTGAAGCTTGCATCCATAGAAATGAACAATAGAATGTATATAAGATCTCTCAATCACTTCCTCCTCTTTCTCACAATAGTAACCAACATGCACCACACCATAAAATGGAAGGAGATGATGCTCACATTGAGAACAAAAGGGCAAGTTTAACTCTGAATGAATCCCACCTATCCTCTTAGGTGAATTAATACTACGAAGACTCAAACCATTCAATTTAGGCTCCAATATTGACTTCTTAAAATTCATTAGCCAATGCACATAACGGTAGGGGGTACCCAAGAGCTCTTGCCTCATCGGATCTTCACCAAGAGATTGAAGAATAGAGGCAACTGCCGAAATCATAGCAGATTGGGTAACACCTGACTTGGACATTTTCAAGGACCTCGATGGACACCAGTACTCAAGAGAAGAACCTGAATCAACATTTATACCTCTAAATTTGAGGAGAGATAAGAAATCATCCCGAAAGGAATTGCCTTCATTTTCAAGAACACCGGAGCTTGAACACACCGAAGATTGAACCCAACCTTGCATTTCAAACTCAGAAGGGTGCTTTGGATCAAGATTGTTCTTTTGTGTTTCGGGGAATTGAATGTGCCAACACTGAAGGACAACAGAAACACCAGCAGGTTTTATGCTGGTTTGTAGAGCTGAGCAAATTTCGTTAGCCAGTCTTTGTGGATCTTGGAGTCTCTTAGCAAAGACATCGGCTACTCTTGAGAGTTTGCTTAGTCCCACAACTCGATGTCCCGCTGGAATGTAACCGATGTGGCATTGGATGCTGAAGGGCAGCAAGCAGGATTCGCAGAAGGAGAAGAGATTGATGTCTCGAACGACCACTAACCCGCCAGTTCCTCCGGCATAGCCAGCAGTGTTTTCTAAACCTGCTTCAGGGAATAATGCACCTTCTACAATGTCTTTCACTTTCTGACCATAACCTGAAAGCACATAAAAGTCTATCAGTAATATTTTAGGGTGTTTTATATAATAGCCCCTCAATCTCCAATAATTTCATATTTGTCCCTCAAATCATTAAAATTGCTCATGCGTTCCTCAAATCGTAAAGGGTCTTGCACTTTGGTCTCAAGATTACTAAAATACACTTAGCTTATGTTCTTGTGAATACAGTCCCTACATCTACGAGTTTTGCTAGGCTAGTCCCGATCGAACACTGCAATCCCGGCATCACCTCTTGGCTTTGTACAAGACTGCTCTCGGACGAACACTGCAATGCCAGTTTCAACACCTGTGCAGCTTGCTTGCAACTGAGAATATTTGGTTGGCTCATATACCATTTGTAGGAGACCTAGGAGCACTCATCCCTAATCCAAATCTCTTCTAAACTGACAATTGATCCCATTTAGTGAAGATGTGACTAAATGGACTCAACTAGCAAGAGTGTCAAATATGCCAAATAGATATATCATTTGTTCCGGAATGTGAACTTTAATCATAGAAGACCAAGAACCGAAACACGTGATAAAAACTAAGAGACGCCCAATTTATCAAAAAAACACACTCTTCCACAATGTCAGTCATTAGATATACAACTGACATACTGAACTGAGTTTTGCTTCAACTCGGTAGCTGGACTAACATATATAAAAAAATTAGATACATTAAAATCTAAAAGCAAATCTAGAATAGTTGACTGACACGAATAACTTAGTCCGTTGAGCAGGATCTAAACTTCAAGAAGATAAATGTTGTGGTAAAAAAAATCAGTGCCAGCAATTCATTATAACCTTTGATTTAAGGTTTAAGGCTTTAACTACTAGGACCTTCTGTACCATGGCAACCCATCTCTTTCACTTCATTTCCTCCACACAGGAGAAGTTCAATGTTAAAGATTGCGGGAATAACCTTTCATTCCAAATCTCTAGGTCAGGTTCGTCGTCCGCTTCCTACATATAGCTCTTACAAGAACCATTTCTCTGTCAAGTCAACAATTATTGACCCTTTGCTGACTCAATCCATGGGATCATTTTTGCACATCAAACCATTCCAACTAACTCTCCCTCATCCTTAACTGAAGCAACTTCCAGATTCCTATGAATCTATGACATTCTAATTGTGTATTTTAGAATATTTGCAAATCATCCATCTCAACAATCTCACTTAGCTACAATCATTTTCCGGACATGTTTCTAGATTTCCATAAAGGGTTTTTTCAATATTAGTCCTTTAAATCATAAAAAAGTTGATATAAGTCCCTCAAATCTTTATATTTTGATATTAGTCCCTCAAAGAGCATTAACATGTTTGATATTAGTCTCTCTGTTAATTTCACTGTTCATAAACATGCCTAGTTAGGTTTAGGCTAATCCTAGGTGATTAATTACCTGAATATCCCCCACCCATTTAGTTAGCGCACCCAACGTTGATTTTAATGGAAAGAACCCCTGATTTTTATGGGTTCACTGCAATTTTACCTTTGGGGAGAGAAGATGGGTGAAATGGGTTTCTTAATGGGTTCGGGTTAGTAAGTTGTGGGTTTTGAGTTTTGTTAGATGAGGAGCATAACTATCCACTAATGCTCATGGGTAAAGAAAGCAAAATATTATCTTGCATTTATAACCCCAAGTAATCACATCGACTAATTAACATATTAGTACTATTTGAGAGACTAATATCAAAATATGAAGATTTGAGGGGCTAGTATTACAATATGAAGATTTGAGGGACTAATATCAAAATACATATGATTTAAAGGACTAATATCTAAAACCCCTCTTATAAAACATGTCGTGTAGTACAGTCATGTAGTATAGTCGTCTCCTATTTTTTCCATTTCAATTTCAATAGTACCCTAGAAGTACTTCTCCATTTTCTAACATGCTGCTTTGATCCTATGGACATCTTCTTTTACTTTATAAAATGCAGAAAAGCAAACATGTTCTTTGTAAACCTTATCCCACTCCTGCAGTCCTAACTCCTAAGTCCTAAGCTTATCCAATAAGAACCTCATTACATCCACAAGTGAATCCGTACTTTGATGTTAAAATGTCTTTTGAATATCAGAACCTTATACTATATGTCTATATCTTACACAAGAGTAGGATACTCATGTGCTCTGGCCAACTACTGCATGGCAATATCTTCAAAATCCTTTAATTTGGCAACTGACTACTTACACTTCCAATTTTCATTCTCTTCACTAATTCTCTCTATCTATTTAGGTGTTGATCGGATGATACCAGCAAGTTTTGGATACCACGTCAATTTTCTACAAAATCCTAACCTTTTCCAAATATTTTGAATGAAAGTTGAAGGGGGGGGAGGGGGGGCACTTCCTACTTTCTCCCCAAGATCTCCAGAAAATAGGATTTCTCACATAGGATGTTGCCAACATGACAACAAATGCCAATCTGAATCCTCTATACACAAGGCGCAAAACAAAACGAAAAAAAAAATTGGGCCAGTATTTTGAACCTAATCCTTAATGTGCAACATGTTTTTTCCATAAAATCTTGAGAATTCCACAGAAAAAACAGCCCCTTCGTGTATATCCTAATGTTATTGGGTTGTTTGTTTCCATGGAATTCTCAAGATTCCATAAAAATTGTAGGTCCTAGGATTTTGTTGGGTCCAAAATCCTCAGCTTTGTTTTGAGGGAAGTTTGTTAGGGGAAGTGATTGGGATTTGATGTCATGTCAACAAAATCCTATTAGAAATCATCTCTTCCAAATACGCACAACTCATCTCAGCCAAACACACCCCAAAACTATTGAAGATGCAGTTAATGATTTGCTACTCAAAAAGGTAAGGTGATTTTCTAATTCCTAGTACCAAGTTCTGTATCTTCTTCAAGAGTGACAGTACTGCATCTAGGCCACATCAACAGTTTTTATTTTTATTTTTTTTTCAATGTTTGCTAATTGAGTCAATTTCATAGCATTTTTACTCGTGTCATTTAGATGGTGACAGATTTACACTTCGCAAACTACAAACATTTCACGAATAACTGACATGAAACCATCAACTCTCTTCTTAACTTTAGTAACTGCTTTAAAATCTTCAATATTCCTTCTTGTTAATGATTGCTTTCCTTTTCTAATGTCACCAAGAAGTATATCCGTTCATGTGTGTGTACCACTTGCATATGCCTTGAAACTTTGGATAATTTGAGAGGGAAACAAGATCTGCTAAGTTGACAGTTAAGAAGATTAATATCATGTCTTCTTGTGATATTCTTGTTTCTTAATTCTTTAAGGGCAGAAGAGCTTTTCATAATAAAGGACTTAACTTTATTATATATGTATCGTGATTCTTAATTAGAAGACTGACATGAACATGGACAAAGGGGTCTGCATGACCAATTAATGTGACCTGGTATCGTAACTGAGAGATGCTTGATCCCCTTGAATTCAACCGTTGTCATTTCGTGGATGAACTGACGGTATGTCCTTCACATAGTACAACCTCTTTGTCAAAATCATGGAATAAGAATTTCCAGTAATTGGAAACCCACAAATTATAGATGCTATCTATCAGAACATAATGGAACAGATAATGTAAATCCAGTACCTTATGTAGAAAGAGAACGAGTTTTCAATTGCCTGATTACTCAGTTTAAAGTAAATTTTTTACTTGCAACAGTTTTTTAAATGCTCTCACGTTTGCATAATCACCTAATCGAAACATACTTGCATTAAAGGAGACAAAATACAGGTCCTCAAAGACTCAGAGAAGAATTGAATGAACTATGCAGGCCAGGATAAATGGTAAATTAGCTTGCAACTAAATGTTCAATCCTACTATATTAGCCTCTAATTTGACGAAAGGAATTTTCTGGATAAGTCGGAGCAAGGACATCAACAAAGAAATTTCTTCAAAAAATATATTCTAGATCTCTAAACATTATTTAATGGTAAGAAAATATGGCAATTAATTTCCAGGACCAATTTTCAATATGTAAAGACATAAAATTGACTCTCATTCTCATAAGAGGTATACAAAGTTGCTCAAGTTATCATGGTATAAAACTCATGAGTCATAATATAAACTTTGGGAGAGAGTAATTGAGCCAAGACTAAGAAAGAAGACAAGTGTATCAGAAAAATCAATTTAGGTTTATACTCGGAAGGTCAACTATGAAACCTATACATATTTTGAGATGGTTGATATAGACAGAAGAGAAAGGATCTACATATGATTTTCATTGATCTAAAAAAGCTTATGATAGAGTGTCTAAAGATGTAATGTGGTGAGTTTTAGAAAAGAAACATGAATCTAATATATATATATATATATATATTATATATATATATATATATTAAAGATATGTATGATAGAGTAATAACTAGAGTAAGAACTAATGAAGGAGAGACTAAAATGTTTCCTATTACAATAGATTTACACCAAGAGTCAGCCTTAAATCCTTATCTTTTTACATTAGTTATTGACCAACTTACTAGGCACATCCAGAATAAAATCCCATGGTATATGTTATTTGCGGATAATATAATGTTAGTTGACGAAACTACAAGAGGTATAATTTCTAAAGTAGAAAGGTGGAGACAAATTTTTGAATCTAAATGTTTTAGAATTAATAGAACAAAAATAGAATACATGAAGCGCATTTTTAGTAAAACTAGGAAAAAAAGAGTCTATAGTACATATTGATGATCAAGAAATATTTCAAAGTAATCATTTTCGCTATTTAGGATCAATCATTCGGCATGATTGTGAGATTGAGGATGATCTTGTCCATCAAATCAAATCGGGATGGTTCAAATAGAGGAGTGCTTCCGGAGTCTTATGTGATCGTAGAATACCAATAAAACTAAAAGGAAAACTTTATAGGACTGTTACAAGACCAACAATGCTTTACGGGTCAAAGTGTTAGCAATTAAAAAATAGCACATGCTAAAAATGAGTAGCATAAATGAGAATGTTGTGATGATCGTGTGGATATACACTAAAAGATAGTATAAAAAATGAGTGCATCCATAGTAAATTAGATGTTGCTCCTACTGAGGATAAAATGAGAGAGACTAAGATGATTTGGTCATGTACAACGGAGACGTCTTAGTGCACTGGTTAGAAAAGGTGATAGTATAATTGTTAATAGGGTTAGGAGATTTAGAGGTAGACATAAAAGAATTTGGTTGAAAGCCATTAAGAATGATATGATTATGTTTAACTTAACGGAGAAGATGTCTCATAATAAAATAGAATGGAAGAATAGGATTCATGTAGTTGACCCCAAACATTTGGGATAACGGCTTTGTTGTTGTTGTATAAGAGATATGAAAAACAGACTTCTGGACAGAGCTACTGTTGAGTTGTAATGTTATAATCTTGTATATAGTTCATAAATTCACCACATCTATCCGCTCAAATAATACAACGTTTGAATTAGGTACGTAAATGGAGAATCATTAAACCAAAAGCTAAAAAAATAGATCCAAGCTTTTAGTGATAAAGTCAGTAGTAACAGATATCTTCCGAAGAGAATGGGAGATCCATTTGAAACATGTAAAGTGCACAAGCATGTTAATCATGTGCCGATAAACATAGTAGAGAATAACCAAAATAAGTAGGTATATCTAGAATGAAGTTAATCTACAACGATAGTATTTATTCCTGGATCTACTATGAGAATATTTATTCCTGGTTCAAATACAGCTATCATAAAACTCGTAGGTTTCTATCAGGTAGCTGGAAATCTATAATTTACAGCAAGTCAAGAGGTGACCAGTCTTTTTTTAATTTGCAAACAGAATAAAACGATCCCAAAGCATCAGCCATCAGGTACCATACTAAAAACGCCAATATTGTTAAAAAAAACAAACTAATGCTTTACTTTTTTACATTCTGTGAGAATTTATTTCTCACCTACGATAATAAGAATCTATGATGTGTAGCCGCGTCATAAAAGATATACAAAGTGCTTAAAAACTTTGGTACAAGCTCAAGATACGACTATAATTGGTAAGGTTGCATGTTTACATCATGATCATGCTAAGTTGCAAACCTAACTAGCACCTAACATTACAAGACAAACCTATTTTTAAGGAAAGAAATTGTCTCTCTTAAGCAATGCTAATTTCATCAGTATTAAGTATACCCATGCGAAAGGTGAGAGTTGTGTATAAAAGGGCTTTCTTTGTGCATAAATGTTGAAAGTTGGATAATGCAGTTAGTCATGCAAGGTAATCACGGAAGGCGATTGGGCTGGGGAAAATTGTAAAGATTAATCTTGCTTAATAAATTTACGTGGTCATTGAATGATTAAAGAACAGAGATGGTCTACAATCTCATATACTTCTATGCTACAACAAACAAAAGCGAGGGATCCACCATGACTCATAATCTTTTACAGTAGTTCACTGTAAAAGACCCCGAACCTTTGCTTCTTATGTACAAAAGTAGCATGGAATTTATAGCATGGCTAACATTACCCTATGATAATACCATGTATAGCAAGCATACAGAATCTTCGAGTGTAGACCAACTATATCATATCATTATATTAAAAAAAACAAGAAAAAAAGTCATTTTATAAAAACGGAAAATCCAGAAGACAAAGAAAACGCTGTTTTGCCTAAAACCCTTTTTTTTCCCCATCAGAAGGCACATTAACAAGATATAAATATAAAGCTGGTGTAAACAAGCAAATCCAACCTGAGACAACAACTCAAGCAGAGCCCTAACGCTACAAAACAATGAGAAAGCAGTGTCAATGATTAGTTAATTGACTACAAAAAGAAACAAAATGCGATTAAAGCGAAACATCCACATCAATCAACCATTCAAAATCCAAGAAGATGAGGTTTTGAGAGATACACAGATCCTATTTCCGCAAAAAGCACCAAACTTTACCTTTGGTTCCATCTCTGAAGGCCTTGGCAACGCGAAACGGCGTCCTCTTGATCCCCTCTCTCTCGTGATCCTCCCCCAATCCCTGAAGCAAGACCTTGACTGCCTCCTCGATCTCCTTATTGGATTCGGGTTCGGGTTCGGATCCGGAACCCGCCCCGGAATCGGATCCGCAGTCAGCGGAGAGCTCGAGGGCCATCTCCTCCACGAATCTGATGTCCTCAAGAGCTCCCATTGGTTTCGAGCAAGATTTTAGAAGAGAGCAGAGAACAGTGGGTAGGGGAAGTCTGTGGTTATCGAGATCTGCAACGCGCTCGATTTCTGTGTATATGAGAGAGGATGAGATTCGAAAGAGATGGTGGGATAATTATTAGATTGGACCCGCGGTGTATTTTACCGCAAAACTGGCCTTTTGGAGGCGTTGGGCGAGGGGGCAGGAGGCGAGAACGAAGATGATGACCGGTGGGGCCCCAGAGCGGGTGGGGGTAGGCGGGCGAATGGGGTCGGCAGGTTGGACTCGGAACCGATCCATGGGCTTTTAGCTACCCACCCCTCCCAAAGAAGAATTTTTCGATGTTAGCCCCTCAAATCTTCTCTAATTTTGTGTTTGACCCTTTATGGTGAAAGTTGAGCGTTCTAATTTTGCGTTTGTATGTTCGTTACGCGACAATGAGAGAGAATTGAACGTCAATTCTAGCTTCTCATTTACCCGAGCCAAGCATGCGTCGGCCAGGAATGAGCATACCCGCTTAAGTGGATATCAAAAAGTTAAAACGACTTCCAACTATGTTCCGGTTGCTTATTACTTACCCGAATCATCTTTTATCGTTCGAGCTCCATCCTCTAATAGCATCCAAACATGCATATGAGGGTGAACAGTTCATTCTATTCTCATTTGACTCGATTCACGCGTATCAAATGAGGCGTAACAAGAATGTGTTTGCCAACTCCACACAGATCTGATTAAGACCATAACTAGATTAGGATTGAACTGGGGTGCGAGATGATCTAAACATATTGTAGCTAAGGGTCTCTTTTTGAACTGAAAAATTGATCCAATCATGGATCAATCTGTCACGCCCATTTTAAGCTCTTAACTAATTAGCACCCCTATCCTGGTTACGATCAGAGTTGCCAAACAATCTCTACTACATTCCGGCAAAATGTGAGGCTCCTTCACGGGCCAAAAAGCATCACTGGGAGTGCTGATATTTTTGTCTAAACTCGCTTTACATATATGGACGATGAGAACCTGAATTGCTCTGATAATATTATATTCCAACCTTTTAAAAAAACCCAGAAATTATTGCGAATATTGAGGATTGTAGTAGTATTATGCCTTTTTAACATCCCTCATTCCCTCTTTTATGCTCATCCTTGCTTTTGCTCAGATAGGATAGTTGACGTTGGCCGCAAGAATATAAGTGATGGAAGATCTTTTGACCCATTGACTTATCACATACGACTTGTGTGTGTGTGTGTGTGGCCATTACACAAGATCTTAATTCGAAAGGGACGGCCTTCGTTGTATCTATGGGTTACTACTTTTGACGAATAACTTCATTTGTAGGGGTTGGTAGATAATTGACAGGCAAAGGAAAGGTGTAGGAAAAATGTTGTTCGTAATTCCTTTTCGTTTGGTTGATGTTTGTTCAAGTGCGTGATTATTTGTTTTAATTAATATTTGATGTTGTTTATTTATTTATTATAATGCTCATTTGATGATAGTCATTGCTAAAGATGTTTGTTAATGTCATCACAGGTTGGAAGGTGTAGGTAGAAGATGTTAGTGCTCTCATGATTTGTCCTCAAATTCTCGTGAACAATAGATGTTAGTGCTCTCATGATTTGTCCTCAATTTCTCGTGAACAATAGAGGTTAGTGCTTTCATGATTTTGTCCTCATGGGAACGATAGATATTAATCCTTTCAAAATTTTGTCCCCACGTTCTCGTTAGCCGTCTTAGCTCAGCCGGTAGAGCGCACGGCTTTTAACCGTGTGGTCGTGGGTTCGATTCCCACAGACGGCGAATATAGTCACCTTTTTATTTTATTACTAGACTTTTCAATTTGGCATGAAATGGATTAGACTTATTAAGTTTGTTTGGCCATAATTTTTTTTGAGAGAATACATGCCCTCCAGTTACATTTAAAAAAAATTTTCTTTAGCTGCATTAGTGGAGAGAATCTATATCTTATTGCTCAAAAAAGTCAAAGCCATATATTCTTTTCCCCAGTAAAAGAGATCAGCTTTGAAAGATTATGCTACAAGTACTTTTTTAAGCACTAGTTGTGATGCACGTGCAATGCACGTGGTTAAATATCATAATTATTTAAATTAATAAAAATAGAGTAAAAAAAATTAAAGTTTTTTGTGGGATTGATTATCAACTCAATAATCTCTCTCTCAAAAAAAATTGTCATTGTTTCCTTCAACCCAGAACGTGGCCACGTGATCTACTATTTGTGAGTTATAAACACATTAATCTAGTACAACATCTCTATTTATTAGTAGATCTACTATTTGTGAGTTATAAACACATTAATCTAGTACAACATCTCTATTTATTAGTATCTTGAAGTATTCAAAAGATGGGTATAAACACATTAATCTAGTACAACATCTCTATTTATTAGTATCTTGAAGTATTCAAAAGATGGGTGATCATTCAATTCACAAAGGGATTTTGTATATGAATTTACTTGCAATATGTCCGTTAAAATTTGTAGTTGTGGTTTGACTCATATTCACGTTAATCTTTAGTTGTGATTTCACTCATATTTATAGTATAAAATATTCTCATTTAATTTTATAGCTCATTCTCTATACCATAGAAGTAAAACTGAAAGTATGAAGAATTATTTTCTTGCGAAATTAGAGCAGTGAGATTATGATATATTTCTCCATGAGCTCTAAATATAAAAATTTCTTTTTTCTTTAACGCAAGGTCCCTATCAAATCTTACCCCAAACGATGTGAATAAAAAATACCATTATAACTTATTTGCCTATGGCAATTATATTGTATATAAGACATATAACTCATCTGAAATATCCACAAGTGCTAAGTGGATTTTGCTGTTGTGAGAACAACATGTTAGAAGCTCGTATTTAAAATTTTTTGGCTCTATAAAGACCTAAGAATTTGGAGTGCATAGCTTATATATCATAAAGAACATATTGGTTCATGAAGAATTTTTCCTGATAACGATATTATTATAACGATATTATTATTCAATACTAAATCAATTTTATTATATAAGATTATATGACCCTTTTTAATAAATTATAAAGTATATATATGGAAACCTAATTTTATTATATAAGATTATATGACCCTTTTTAATAAATTATAAAGTATATATATGGAAACCTCAATGCTTATAGCCAGTAGGTAAAGTATATATATGGAAACCTCAATGCTTATAGCCAGTAGGTGGTCTCCACAAAATAGGTTAACTTTATAGTGTAGTTTGCTATTTGTACTATTGTTGGCAATGTTATTACCTTTTCTCTTTATCTTATTATTCACGTTTTTCTGATGTAAGTTATTTTTTGCTAATCACTCAATTTGCTATATTTAGTTTTTTTAATATAAAATGTTAGAATATTTTCTTCTATTTTAAAAATATTAACATTATTTTCTTAAAATATATATACATATAGTAGCAACAATATATACTTCAGTTTAACTCAAATATTGGCTTGAAACCATTTAGAGTGAGGTTCTTTTTACGCTAGAATGATGATATAGTGATTACACAGTCCAAAAGTCAAAGAAGAAATTTCTTCAAAGGAAAAGTAATTTAATATGTCAAATTAACTACTAATTTATAAAATATACATGTGCAGTTCAAATAGCTATAGAAAGTAAGGTGTATATCTTTATGAAAACTTCATAGTGAGTGACCAACTACAATCATCCTAATTTAAGCATAAATAATTATTATTTTAGTTACTAATTTGATACTCGTAACTATAGAATAAATCTCAAGCAAAAAATAAGAATTGAGTGTAGGTAAATAAATAAATGTTATTAGAACTCCTCTTTATATTAAATTTAAAATAATAATTTAAATTATTAAGCGCCAAATATTAGCTCATGTGAGAAAGTAAAGTAATTTATGATCTATATACATATATAGTCAATCAATCAAACATATTAAAATTATGATGACCACAGTCAAACTTAGGTGGGTTCACATTAAATATAATTTATAAAGATAGTACATTAAAGTCAAAATATTTTTAACCACTATATAGATTGTTTGAATTTTTTTGTATATATAAATTATATTGTCTAGAAATAGTGATGTGCACACTTAACTATGGCCTAATAATCTTAAGAATAACTTACTCTTTAATATCATTATTAATTGAAGTATCACTTAAAACCCAAAATTACCCTTAAAAACTCGCATTCAATGTACACGTCTTATTTTAATGTTTAGGTCTTATTAGGATACAACTCGCGTACCATGAACTTAAATATTTTTTAGCTTATTTTTGGTTTTTTAGTGAACCCTTTAAAGTTGGTTTTTGTTGCAATCAACCGCCGCCAATCATATTCTTCACTTAAAATAAAAAATTACTCTTAAAAAACTCGCACTCAATGTACAAGACTCATTTTAGTATTCAGGTCTTTTTAGGATACAACTTAGGTCTTATTATGATACAATTTAGGTCTTGTTAGAATACAACTCACGTACCTTGAGCTTAATTTTTTTTAAGCTTTTTTTAGTGAAAATTTGATTAGGAGGTGGTTGATTGCAACAAAAATCTAATTTAAATGTGGTTCATGTATAAATTACAAAACGAAGGGTGGTTTCCATATAATCACCCTATTGGCAAGGTGGTTTCTAAGCAAAAAAAAAACCCATAATAATGAGCATATAATTACCATGTTGGACTGGGCTATAAAATAAAAAAAAGTAGAGTTTTCTATTTTCAGCTCCATCTTCAGCCATTTATCTTGCTTCATCTCCATCAGCTCCCATCTCCACTCAACTTTTTTTGGCGTTTTTGTAGCAAACGCCTTCAAATTCTGCGGGTAGACGTCCCATTAGAAATTAATAAAAAAGTTAATTTTCTCAGAAGATCAATCGAATGCAGCTTTTAAATTCAAACTGCATTCTTGCCACTCTGACAAAACAAGGTCTCCTACAAACAAATCCCAGTTCAATTTTCTATCTGCAGGTGTCAAGGATCATATATAGATCTAAAAAAAATGAGAATCAATCAGAAATCTAAACTCAATATTATACCAAATAGACTTAACAAAAGCACAATTCACAAAAATATGATTAGTAATCACTATTATAAAGAACACATAGCCCATCATTCTGCGTCTCTTTTTTCAAAACATTATCTTTGATATTCAATTTATTATTAATTGCCAGCCATGAAAAAGTTTTGATTTTCTAGGGAAGAGGAACATCCCAAAACATCTCAAACTTCATCACTCAGAAAAATATAATAGCATTTCACTCAGAAAAAAAACTCCCTTTACTTTCTCATCTCCAACTCCCGGGGTTTATATGGCAAACTGAGTAATTCAAACTTAGTGGAGACTAAGTAAGTTTATGGGCTTAGCCCTTGTTTGCCAAATGAAAAGGAGGGGAAAAAACTAATTCTTTTGAGGTCCACTTTGCCAACCACTTGTGCAAGATAAGGGTGTGTTTGGCAAAGTGAACAAAATTGGATCGGGATCAGTCCTGACCCAGTGAACAAAACTGGGCCAAGACCAGTCCTGACCCAGTTTTATACTAAACCAGTTTTCTTTTGGACCAGACGTTCCCTGGTCCAAAAGAAAACTAGTTTATTGACACTATTTAGGCTAAAAAAACTGGGTCAGCTCTAGCCTAAAAATTAACAAACAAGAAACAAGTTAAAATTGGGTAAGGTTCAGTCCTGGCCCAATTTTAACTTGTTACCAAACACAACCTAACTAGACTAGAAATAAACCAACTCTCCTTTGATTTATATAAAAAAAACTAGTTCAAATAAAGTTTAGCTTACAAATTAGCCAAACTGAGTTTAAGTTTGAACTAGTTCAACAAAGTCTAATTTAGCAATAACTTAAATCAAGTAGAGCTAGTTCAAAACTAGTCTAAATTCTTTTCAAACTTGCCGAATACACCTTGACGTCGTCTTATAAACTTTATATCCCCCCTCCCCCAATCTCTCAACTTTTTCCTGAGAAAAGTTATAGAAACTCTAGGACTCACTATTAATTCAAACAAGTCAAGAAATAAACATGTCAGGAAAAAATGAATTGTTTCTTTGACAAAATAATACTTTAAGGCCAGTGTTACCAAAATACCGTTAAAAAATTTCACCTCCAAAAGTTTTTAAATTTTTTTTATACCTTAGGTGATGAAAAATAGGATTTAAATCCAAGTAAAAAAGTTAATTTTATTGGGATGTCCATTCCAATCCACACAGTACATACTGCAAAGACTAATTTTAAAGTAACTTATAAGAACTGGGGACTGAATGCCAATTTCAATGATTTGAATGACTAATTTAAAATGTGAAAGATTAAGTGACTGATATCTAAATAGATGCAAAGGTTATTGCTAATTAACATTTAAAGTGCCTTATAATTTCTCCTAGTTTGCATTTGTATACGGTTAAAATACCAGCTTGGCCTAAATAGTGACACACCCCTTTACCACTTTAGCCTAAAAAGTGACACTGACGATAATTTAACCTAAAAAGTGACAAATTGACGACAAATAGGCTTTTCTGAATGCCTAAGTTATTCTTTAGCAAAAAATTAAAGAAATTGTATATATAGGTCACTCAATCTCTCATTATTTTTAAATTAACTCATCTCACTTCCCTAAATTTCTGAAATTTGTGGAAAAAAAAACATCCTCTTTTTCCACTATCTTCTTCCTCCTCCTTCCCACCATCTTCTCCATACCCTTATTCTTCCTTATACCCTAACCTTCCCTCCTCCCTCACTCCCTCTCCTACCTTATTTCATGAATCATCATACTTACTTTCTAATTTCCTTCATCTCATCCAACTCTTTTACTCCAAATCCCCAACATCTCCTCCTCTCTCTCATTCTCCCTTCTTCTTTTCCTCCTTTCTCTCACTCTCTCTTCCTACTTGCTTCACCCATTCCCAACACTCAAAAATTAAACGTTCAACCATAAATTTTAACCTCATTCGTCTTTTCTTTTCTTGCACTCTCTCTTCCTCCTTGCTTCATACTCCTCTTTCATCCTCTAATCATTAAAAATCAATCTCCTTAAGAGTGAGGATATGTGAAAGAAAGTAGAGAGAATGGTGACCATTGGGAAAAGAAAAGAATGAAAGAGATGACAGGAAGGATGAGGGAAAAGATGGTGGGAATGGAGGGAGAGATGAGTTCTTTTTACAAAATTATAAAACTTGAGGGGTTAAATCAGAAAATATGAGAAATTTGAAGGGTATATATAAAATCTCTTAATTTTCTTGTTTAAAAATCGCTTCTGGTGACCAGAAAGGTTTATTTATCACTAATTTATTACTTTTTAGGTTAAATTGTCGTCGCTGTCACTTTTTAGGCCAAAATGGTAAAGAGGTGGCACTATTTAAGCCAATTAGGAATTTTAGCCATTTGTATACTATTGATGTCAGTTATCAAAGAGGGAATAATTTGCAGGTTTTTGGAGTGATTAAGATGCTCTAACTCCTTCTGATGTTTAGCTCTGGGGTTTTCTGTTCTTCCCTGCACAAGAAAGAACTCATAAGAGGCTGAAGTTGGGTTCTCCGGTTGTTCCCCCGACGATCAAGTCAGTAGATGCTCTTCAGTGGGGAAAATATACATTTAGCTATTAATTGGGTTAAAACGACTAGAGCCTTACCTCATGCAGTGCACCTCCTTTTTAAAGTGATTATAAGGGGCAAGAAGGTAACTTGGACCGAGTCCAACTAGGCAGATGAGTTGGCAGATAGCTAACATGTGTCGGCCACTTAGAAAGGAGGGGTTGTCCATGTGTTTCATGCTAAGCGACAACAAGTGCTTAGGGATAATGGGGCCTGATAAGTCATAAAGACTTTATTGACCAGAGCAATAATGACTTTGTCAAGGCAGATAATGCAAGGTCAAGCGGTTGTCGGTGCGAGGTTCGAGAAAACTACCAACTCTCTTAGTCATCCAGTTGATAGTCGACTATACATGTTGATGGTTTTGGGTTGAGTGAGGGTTATTCGTAAAGGTGATTGGCCGGGTTGGGCGACAAATACCCCATTTTGTCTCGATTATGCAAGATGTCGGCCAAACAGTTGGTCGAGTCAGATTGCTCAGGGAATTAATTGAAGGGTTGGCCGTGTAGTAGAACCTTTTGTTTCGATTACGTGAGATGTCGGCCAAACAATTGGTCAAGATGAGGCATATATTATATTGGTTTTGACTTAGTTATATAAATTGCATGACACGTGTCCACTGTTCAATGAAGATTAACAATAATATTTTTTAGGGGTATAACATATACCCTCACATGACTTCGATAGCACTTACATACCCTGTATTTCTCAAAGCTGCACTTTAATCCCTTATGTTATGCGAATAAGAAAAATTTTGTCAAACTAAATTTAGAACCCTTTAACACTTAATTTTTTTTAATTTAGTGTTATAAACCTAATAATGTGTTTAGATTGCTGGGGTAGCAAATGGCAAGGGAAGGAAAGCAGGTAGCTAACTCTGCATGTGAGTTTTTTGAGGGGTAACGCACGGTAGAGGAGGCGAGGTGAACTTTTTATAAAAATGTTGTCATTGTGTTCTCCCTTCTTTTTTCATTCTTTCCTTTTACTAGACTTCTAAACATGATGACATAAATTCCCCTCCATTTTCTTTACTAAACTTCCAAATAATATATTATACTTTCCTCTCATTCTCTATGGTTTTTTCTTTTCCTATTTTATCTTTCCTCTCTTTTTCCAAGTCCCAAAAAACCATGTAACCTAATTGTACATTAAAATTTAAACTTTGGGTAGTAATAAAATTATGATATGCTTGTAAGTGTCACAGTAGAGTATTCATACAAATTTTCAAAATAGACCCTTTGCAAACTTATTTTATCTTTCCTTTCTTTTTCCTAGTAAATCCCGTGAATTTTTTTATGTTTTTTCGCCACTTTCGACCCCGTGTCAGCCAAAATAAGTTTCTAAATGGGTCTATTTTAAAAATCTGTCCTTTATAGAAGGCACTAAAGTGCAAATAAGTGCCACATAAGAAAACGAACTGAGGGTATAAAAGTGCAAAGTAGGGGAATCTATAAGGCGCTCAAGTGCTAACTAGCCGAAGATTTTTATGCAAAACCGCCGTTCCCTTTTCCTGCTTTGGGGGGGTTAGTTTTACCTCCGCGAAGAGCGCTGATCTCCGCCGTGGGCGATGGCGGCGAACTTCTGGACATCGTCACACTACAAGCAGCTCCTCGATCCAGAGCAGGTCGACGTCGTCAATCCCATCGACAAGGAGAAGGGCCTCACCCCTGAAGAGTTCAAGCTCATCAAGATCCACATGACCAACCGTAATGCTTCCTTTCCTCGTTTCCCCCTTTCTTGAATCCTGAATCGTTAGGGTTTGCTAATTGTGTTTTTGCTTGATTTGATGGATTTTTCCAGATATTTGGAGGGTGGCTCAGCAAGTTAAAGTCAGGCAAAGGTTTGGTCCTTGTCTTTGTTCTTGAATTGGGCAAAATTTTCTTTTTTGGGAATTGGGAAATTCCAAGTTGGTTTCTTTTGATGTGTTGACTAGTATTGCGATACTGTGATTTGATAAATACCCGTACGGAATGAACACATAACCAATATTATTTTCTCATTGTAAACCAAGGAAAATATTTACAATATAAATCATCTCAATAATAAATAGGTTAGGTATGGATAACAATATGAAAGCTGGAAAGACATGGATGCAACTGTGTTCAAGAAGGATAGGTTAGGAGTGACTTACACTTGACACATATCTGCAACCAATGCCGGGTAATTTAGTATAGTAGTATTTGAATGCTATTGAGAGATTCAAAGCAATTGGTATTAGATGATTCATATACATGATTTTTATGGTCTGTAGATTGATATTGAACGTTGTCTTTTCCCCATAACTTCAACTGTTTGTACTAGTTTGGTGTTTGAATGAGATTTGTGTTGGCCTTGATTTTGTCAATAACGAAATATTTGAGGATTGGAGGGACGTAGGAGAAGGAGATGAGGGTTTAGAGGAATTTGGCCATCTTTTATACCCCTGATCATGTTGATAGTCCCTTTTCTATCTATTTAATGTCAGGGAGCACAACACCCTCTGTGCCCTCTTCAATCAGGGCGGCGGCATTGGGGCCCACTGTGTTGCCTCTCCCTCTTCCACTTTCGTTGCCCTCGCCGCCGCCGCCAGAGCCGGCGGATTGAGATCGTCAAAGATGGGATCGCGACCGTCGATGATTCCTTCGTGACGACCCAGACATCCGGCGAGATCGACGTTGAGGAGAGGCCGATGAAGGATCACATAGATCTCGAGTCACAGCGTAAGAAACCTCCGGCCAAAGATCTCACTGATAGCTTCGGGCTCGGGTATTGTTTGGGGAGAAGAGAGAGCTGGGTGGGAGAAGAGGAGCTGGCGACGAGCTGTTAGGGCTTAGGTGAAAAAAAAGAGTTGAAATATATGAAGAAACCCTAATTCATTCATTATGAGATCTCTTGGGCTTTATATAGGCCCCCTACACAACTTACAAATAAGTCCCTAACTAATACTAATATGTCAACACTCCTCCTCAAGATGGACGAAAGATATCTACTAAGCCCATCTTGTCACATCCTCTAATCATATCTACTGAGCTAAGTCCTTTAGTCAGACAATCTGCTGCCTGGTCCTTAGTCGAAACATGATTTAGCTCCAATAGTCCACTATCCAACTTCTCTTTGATGAAGAACCTATCGATCTCGATGTGTTTGGTTCTATCATGCTACACTGGGTTGTTGGCGATACTGATGGCTGACTTGTTGTCACACCACAACTTCATCTTAGCTCCTTGATCCAGCTTCAGCTCCATCAGCATACTCTTCAACCATAGCAACTCAGCAACTCCTAAGGCCATAGCTCTATACTCTGCCTCAGCTGTCGATCTCGTCACCACCGACTGCTTCTTGCTCTTCCACGAGACTAAGTTGCCTCCTATAAAGATGCAGTATCCTGAGGTGGACCTCCTGTCATCAGCACAACTAGCCCAATCAGAGTCACAATAGTCCTCAATGCTCATGTGTTCATTCTTCCTGAAGATTAGTCCTTTTCCGGGGGCATTCTTCAAATACCTTAGAATCTGATACACTGCGTTCATATGACCTTTCCTTGGATCATGCATGTAGCGACTCACCACGCTCACTGTAAAAGAGATATCAGGACGTGTGTGACACAGATAGATCAACCTGCCCACCAGCCTTTGGTATCTGTTACGATCAACTGGTTCTCCAGCTTCAGCACCCAGCTTAAACTTCTGGTCGATCGGTGTAGTTACAGGTTTGCATCCTAACATTCCTGTTTCTTTGAGAAGATTCAGTGCATACTTTCTCTGGGATAGGACGATCCCCTCCGCTCCTCGAGCTATCTCTATTCCAAGAAAGTATCGAAGCAAGCCAAGATCTTTCACCTCGAATTCCTTACCCAGTCTCACTTTGAGTTGGGCAATCTCCTTCTCATCATCCCCTGTAATAATCATATCATTCATATATACTGCAAGCAAGGTGATGTGACCTCAACTTCTTCGAAAGAACACGGTATGGTCGGCACTGATCTGTTGGTACCCTATACCAATCATAGCCTTCCTGAATCTATCAAACCAAGCACGAGGAGACTGCTTTAGCCCATAGAGAGACTTCTTCAATCTGCAGACCTTTCCCACTGTCTGATCTGTACCGAATCCTGGTGGTATCTCCATGTATACCTCCTCCACTAGATCTCCATGAAGAAATGTGTTTTTCACATCTAGTTGGTGTAGCTTTCATCCACCATTTACTGCCAGAGAGATTAAGGTCCGAACAGTGCCTAGTTGGTGTAGCTTTCATCCACCATTTACTGCCAGAGAGATTAAGGTCCGAACAGTGCTCATCTTTGTCACCGGTGCAAAAGTCTCATCGTAGTCGATTGTAGGATCGCTGCAATGGCACTCAAACACTAGAAGGGGGGTTGAATAGTGTTTATGAAATCTAATGCGGAAACTTTAAATTTCAATAAAATAATATCACAAAGAGTAAGAAAGATCAAACCAATGTGTAGACAATCACAGAAAATTGCATACGCAAACACAAGGATTTATACTGGTTCGGTCCTCAAGACCTACATCCAGTCCCCAAGCCTTGCTTGAGATTTCTCCACTATTTCCACTTGCAAAACCGCAAGCACTTGCAACCCGCAAGCAAACCGTACAACCTTGACAATCTTCAATTGCCAATGCCACAACAATCTCTTCTTTCAAGAGATTATCAAATAAAAAACAAGATGGTACAACTTTCTCTTCCTATAAGCCTTGATGTGTAGATGTGAGTGACTTACAATAGGCTATAGGGATGATTTTTGTTCTAGAGTGGTGGAACTTTTATCAAGAACAGAACTGAAATTTTCATGCAGTTTTTTTCTTCAAAATGATCTTAAGAAGTCAAGAAAAACTCAAGTTTATAGAAAGGAATTCTGATATAAAATTTCAGAACTTAACACCTATTTATAGGTATAATTTTAGTTCAAAAATATTCAAAAATAACTGCCAAAAACGTTCACAAAACGTTCATATATATTTGAAAAATATAGCTGTTAGAATGGCTGTCTGGTCGACCAGATTGAGGCCTGGTCGACCAGACAGAGAAATTTTGGAATTTTCGTCCAAATCTGGAGCCTCTGGTCGACCAGGTACATATCTGGTCGACCAGACAGAGATTTTTCAGACTCTCTGTTTCTGGTTGTTATATCTGGTTAGTATTTTGACTGTAACTTTCTCATCCGATATCGGAATGAGGTGATTTAAGATTTGTTGGAAAGCTCTTGAAGAGACCTACAACTTTAGTCTTTTGAGTTTTTCCAGATTCTAATTTCTAAGGGGTGTAAATGAAATGTTTTAAGACTCACTCAATATCTATAAACTCTAATGGCTAACATAGGGGATTTCTATTGTTAACCAACACACTAAGCATGTGTTAGTGTGTTCTAACACTATGTGTGTGCATGTGTGTGAGTGATCAAGGCTTGTACAAATTTCTAAGCAAAGAAAATATAAAATTACATTTTGACAATAAAGTATATCTTCTTCTTTGCTTCATTTTGCCTTGAACTCATCTATGTCTTGAGTATCTCTTTGAATATAATTGTCGATATAACTCTGATACTACAAAATAAATGTTAGCACATAATACACACAACATATAATATTTGTTATCATCAAAACAAACTAATCTTGGGGTCAAGATTCCTAACATTCTCCCCCTTTTTGATGATGACAAATATATGTTATTAAGATATAAAAATTTTAATCCCCCTGCATGAAATCATTAAATAAAATCTTTTACTCCCCCGGCATCAAAGCATTAGTAAAAAATTTAAAATTAAAATTTTCTATATAACTCCCCCTTTGTCATTAGCAAAAAGAAATAAACATAATTCTAATTAAAAATTTCTTTTCTTGGGTACCTTAATAAAAATATCAAGCACTTTGGTACCCTTTTATATTATATCATTAGGATTAGCCCTTAGGAATCCAAATCCACTTGGAATTTGGTTTCCATTTGTTAACATAAGTGTAATTCTTTGAATTGCAAACTTCATAAATATAAGATGAAATATAATAATTCCTATCATGAATATTCAAATTCTTAGGAATCCATATATACTTATTTTGTTTAGCATGAATATTCTTATTATTATTCTTCAAAACATAATCATTCTTTATAAAATACTTAGGAACAAATCCAATGCCAAAATGATTGTTTGAAGATTTTTGAAATGAGAGCAAATTATTCAAATTCTCTTTACTTTTATTGAATTTACTAACATTCAAACATATATCATCATATTTTAATTTAATAGAAGAAATATCTTTATCTAAAACATTAATGCGGATTTTTAAATCATTGCATTCTGATTTTAGATAAACATTCTCATTAGTCAAAATATGATTTTCTTTAAGCAAGGATTTATTTTCCTCTTTCAATTCAATTACTTGAGAATTAGAAATAGTAGAAGAATTAAAATCAGAAATTTCTTCAAGTAATCTTTTATTTTCACCTTTAAGAAAATTATGTGAAGCCTTTAATCTCAAAAATGTTTCATATAATTCATTGAAAGCATCTAATAATTCTTCATTATTGCATACCTCATCTTCTTGTGCCATGAAGCACATGTGAGTGGATTCCTCTTTTTGTTCTTTCATTTTGAATAACTCAAACCTGTGCACAAGAACAGATATTTTAGATTCTTTAACTTTATTTGTACCTTCATGAGTTACCTCAAGTGTATGCCAAATATCGTATGCAGATGTGGCCGTTGACACCCTATTGAACTCATTCTTGTCAAGTGCACAAAATAATGCATTCATTGCTTTTGAATCCAAATTTGCATTATTTCTTTGAGAAGTAGTCCATTCTGCAAAAGGAGTTGTTGGCTTCTCATATTTTGTTTCCACGACG